CAGTCTGTGACTTGAAATGATAAATATGTTGGTTCGGTGATCCCGTGCCGTCAAAAGTTTGTAGCGTCGGGACCTCGAACTTTGGAGGATAAGGGGCTGCATCCCATTCGGCAGGATAGGGTCTGATAACTCCCTCATCTTGGAGCTCGCTTCTGTTAGCAAGGGCTTTGAGGCGGGTTTCTAATTCTTCCATTTTGGCAGACTGAAGATTCTGCTCATTCTCAGTCTCTCTTCCTTCATCAGAGGAAGATTCCAGGCTGTGGGCTTCTTGGTCAGAAACTGTATCATCAACCACTTTTCCCTTCCCTTTGCTTATGTGAGGTCGGGATGAAGACGATTTTCCTCTTCGGAAAGATTCTTGCCTAAGCGGTGAATCTGTCTCCTGAGATTTGGCCTTGTCTGCGACGATTTGAGTCAACATGGCCATGAGTTCATTGATGGCCTCCTGCTGAGATTTGAGCATGGCCTCCTGTTCATCAAGTCTCTTTGAAAGGTCTTCCGAATGTTCTGCCATGTGGACGAAGCTCTCATGCCCAACGAAAGAGCTTGATGATTGGGACTCCGCAATGGCTGAGTGTTCGTCATCGGAATTAGTTTCTCTGGCCAAACTCCGATAGTTGATAGGGGGAATGGCTCCTGTTCGAGTCCGAGTACGTTGGTAGATTCCTTCAAACTCGTTAGTGATTTCTCTGACGCTTGGAGAACGATCTGTCTCTGGCTCGTCAGAACTAAGGTTTGATGATCTTCCTCTGCCAACCATGTTAGAAGTGACTCCAATGTATTCATCCTCTAAAGTCTTCTTCCTGTGATGATGTCGTCGATTATTGAGCAAAACGACATTCGTCGGTCGGTTGAACATCGACAGCAATTCCCGCAAGTCAGAGACTTGGGATGAACCTCTCACAGAGCGTGAGGGTAAAGATGGAACCCCCTGTCCATTAAAGGATGAGACTGGCTCCTGGTGAACATGGATCTTGAGTCCACGTTGATCTTTTTGAACACGACAAATCGCATCGTGTTCTGAAGAAGAAACACGAGGGTCGTGTTCTGTTTTACTAACGCTAGACCGAAGTCTGCGTTTTGTTGATGAAACGCACCTTTGCCGGTTGCGTTTTTGTTGGTTAACGCAGTTTGTAAGTCTGCGTTTTGGATCTTGAACGCACTCCTGAGAGTTGCGTTTTGGTTCTGAAACGCACTCCTGAGAGTTGCATTCCGCCAAATCAACGCAGTTTTGAAGGCTGCGTTTTGATTGCACAACGCACCACTGAGGGCTGCGTTTGGCATAAACTGAGTCCACTCCTTTAGAGGTGGGGCTGCTCGAGTAATCTCGGCGGCTGAAGGAGAGGGTTTCCTTTGGCATAGGAGCAACCTTTGGAGCTTTAGTCTCCTTGGCACCTCTCACAGAGCGTGAGGGTAGAGATGGAACCCCCTGTCCGTTAAAGGATGGGACTGGTTCTTGGTAAACATGAATTTTAAATCCATGTTGATCATTTTGAACACGACGAATCACATCGTGTTCCAAAGAAGGAACACGAGGGTCGTGTTTAGCTTGATTAACGCAAGACCAAAGTCTGCGTTTTGCTAGTGAAACGCAGTCCTGCGATCTGCGTTCGGATTCAGAAACGCACTCCTGAGAGTTGCGTTCAGTTTGTGAAACGCACTCCTGAGAGTTGCGTTTTGGTTCTGGGACGCACTCTTGAGAGTTGCGTTCAGCCAGATCAACGCAGGTTTGATGTCTGCGTTTAAATTTTGGAACGCACTCCTGAGAGTTGCGTTTTAGTTCTGGGACGCACTCCTGAGAGTTGCGTTCAGCCAGATCAACGCAGTTTTGAGGTCTGCGTTCTGATGTTGGAACGCGCCTCTGAAGGCTGCGTTCTATCTGGGAAACGCACCCCTGAGGGTTGCGTCTAGCTTGGCCTATGCAGAGCTCATATTGAGGCTCGCAAACGCGGAGTTCGCGTTGATTGGAGGATCGGCTCTGGAGTCGTGCCAAAGTCGAGACTTCTCCTTTAGGGAGGGGACTGTATGAACAGTGCAACCCCCATGGGAGATAGTCTTTAGATGAGTTGGCCACAATTGGAGCTTTAGTCTCCTCGGAAACTTTGTGGATCTTGCGCATAGCCTTGGGGCTAAAGGATCCGGAGGAGAGGGCCTTCTCAAACTTGGCTTGATCGAACTCGATGATCAGAGTTTCAACGGTCGTTCCAATGAGATGAACGTCGGATTGCGCCACCACTTCTTCGTCAGAAAAGTTGTTCCCCAGCGGAGTCGCCATCTTTTGTTTGTTGGAAATTTAAAGTAAAAAGACAATGAAAGAAAAATTGACTTGTATTCCTCTCAAAATCGATTACAATTTGGATTCCGATTACAAAAGAGAGGAGAATGAATTTGATTCTCCCCTTTGTTTAATTCTGGGTTCTTCAAAAATCCCAGCCAAAAAAGGAGAGCCCGAACTCAGTTGAGTTTCCCACTATTTATAGGGGGTTTAGGGGTGGCAACTGCCCCCTTAATTAGCTCCTCCATGGGCTGAGTGGGGTGTAACCACCCCCTCTTAAACAGCTCCCGAAATAGTGGGGAAAACGGTTTTGAAACCGTTCTGTTAGTGCTTTGAACGAGTCAAAACGCTGAAAACAGCGTTCTGGGCCTTAACTCTGCGTCTTATTGATGAGACGCAGAGTTGGGCGCTTGTTGGGAGTTGAAAACGCAAGGGCCGCTTGCGTTCGGACCTTAACTCTGCGTCTTAAAGATGAGACGCAGAGTTGGGCGCTCGCTGGGAGTCGAAACGCACAGGCCGCATGCGTTTTAGAGATGAACTCTGCGTTTTAGGCTAAAAACGCAGAGTTGGGCCTGTTTAAAGGCTGAAAACGCACAGTTGTGCTGTTTTAGAGATTAACTCTGCGTTTCTAGACTGAAAACGCAGAGTTGAGCCTGTTTAAAGGCTGAAAACGCACAGTTGTGCTGTTTTAGAGATTAACTCTGCGTTTCTAGACTGAAAACGCAGAGTTGAGCCTGTTTAAAGGCTGAAAACGCACAGTTGTGCTGTTTTAGAGATTAACTCTGCGTTTCTAGACTGAAAACGCAGAGTTGAGCCTGTTTAAAGGCTGAAAACGCACAGTTGTGCTGTTTTAGCGATTAACTCTGCGTTTTGATGTTGAAAACGCAGAGTTGAGCATGTGCGCTTTGACTCTGTAATGCAGAGGCGAACCTTAGGCGGGCTTGGCGGGCTTCAGGCTAAGTCCAATGTTCTGATGAAGTCCAGTCTTGCAGACGGACCTCAGAACATAATTTGCTGCGAAGAACAGGTCATAACTTTCAAATCTTAAGTCGGAATTAGACGAATTATATATGAAAATCGGCTATCTCAACGAGACGGGGCCATCCGAACCTAGCCGAAGGCTTCGGTTCGCTTCCTCCGTTTCGCCAAATTCCTTACGGTTTGAGAGATATCTGCATTCCAATATGAAGAGACTGTCAATTTGTAGTCTCTTTTGCTAGAGCTTTGCACAGATCGTCCTCTTGTAATCTTCGTCTTGGCTTCTTGAAAATATGAGAGTCGTCAGATTGTAACTCCCGATGTTGATTGTGAAGGCTGTTGAATTGGGGCCTTCATTAGTTGTTGTGAAGGTCGTCAGATTGTAACCTTCTACGTGAAAGTCCTCAAATTGTAGCCTTCTGGAAGTCGTCAGATTATAACTTCCATCATCGGTGTTTGATGAGGGATTAACTATCTATTGTGATTTTTAGACAGCCTACAGAACCCCCTCCAAAGTTTTCGAAAGTGTGGGAGGGAAAGCGGACGAGGGGCTTTGCATGGCGGGTGGGAAGGCCGACGAGGGCCTGTGCACGATCCAAGAGAGGAGGTGACCAGAACGAGTTGCGGTGCAGCGGAGAATTTTTTTTCAAGAACCCTAGATTCGGACGGAGAGAGAAAAGTGCACTTTTCTCCCGTAATCGGCTTCAAAATAGGGGAAATTTTTTTGGGGTAAATGTATAGCTAGTGCAATATCTTTCCCTCACTTTCTTTTTTGTCTTTTACAAAACAAACACCTGATTGTGAAGGAAATTGTGAAAAATACCCTCTGTCAATTTTTCAGGGGTCTTTTTCTGTGGTTTTTGGACCAACCAAACAGCCCCTAACACTATAACTCCTGGGGGTGACGTACAATATTCTATTCTATATGATGTTCTGATAGAATCTTTACTAGAGTTTCTATAAATCATGCATACTCAAAGAATTTTATGTAAAGTGCCCACTACATGGGTGACCTGAATAATTGAGAAGTTCCAATGTGTCTCACGATTTTGAGTTCAATTTTAGGCTTCAGTTATAAAAAACACAAAAAGAATCTTATATAATCTATCCAAAGGGGGTGTTAGTCAATTGAGACATTTTCATATAAAATGGGATAATTGTTAAAGTGGAATAATTTTTCGCTAGTGGGATAAATAGGAACAATTTTGTAAAGCGGGATATTTTGATAAAATAACATAGGATAAATTTTTATAATCATGAAATATATATTTATACATTTTAAAGATGTAAATACTATTTATGTATTTTAAACTTACTATTATTGATTGATAATTGCTTACAAGAATGTTCTTTACTATTAAATAACTTTTGGTTAGACTATAAGATATTAACAATTATTATTATAATGATGGTCTAATGATGGTGATAACCATAATAGGAAAAAAATAAAGAAAGAAAAAGAAATATAAAAAATAAAAATAACAAAATTAATATGAGTTCTAGTTTTTTTACCACCTAGTTCCAAGCTAAAACTTGGAATAATTTGAGAGACTAGAACTCTCATTTTTATATAGAAAAATAAAAAACTTGGGATAATTTTGTATCATTATCCCAATTCTAGTTTTGTTCTGTAAAATTTTATTCTAGTTTTAGTTCTACATGACTAACACCTTAAAAATTTATCCCACGGATCATCCTTGTTTCAATTTTAAGCTCTAGGTGCCTACGAAAGGAAAATCAAGCATGGGTGCATTTTTGGGTGAACAAGAACAGGTACGTCACACATCCCAACTCCCAAGCAAAACCCGGTAGCCGGCCACCTGCGGCCGCTCATATAAGAAACACCCCGCATTTCCAGCGGGACCTCCTGAAGAACACCGCTCCTACGGATGCTGTCTGCTTAGTCTCCTCCTTCGCTCGTCGAGTCCGCAGATCCGAAGGTCTGTCTCGCCCCTCAGCCGACACGTGTCTCGATCTCGCCCGTCCATCCGCTGGTAAGCTCATTCTTCCTCATCCTCTTCGGCGCGCGGACCCCTCCCTCGTTCACGATTAGGGTCTCGTTTGAGAATTTCGCCCCTTTTCGTTGGTTGTTTCTTGTCGTTTGTGAGTTTTTAGCGAGAATTCTAAAGTTTTCTTTGATCACTGCGGAAGTCGTCGATCTCGGAGGTGAGGAATTGAGGAAGAAGTTAGGGTTTTCGTCGTGATCTTTTTCAATTTAATTTTTAAGTGAGCCTATCGGATCTTTGCGTGCATGCGGTCGTCTATAATTTCTTGGGTCTCTGTTCGTGCCCATTTGCCACGTGTATCGACCTCGCTCGCCCCCGCCCCCGCCCCCCCTCTGAAATCGGTCTCGTCTCAGATTCAGAGTTCTACGAGGTTTCCTGATTTTTCTTCAATTTGTAATTTTGAGCGGGAACCTCGGGGTTCTGTTCGGTGATCTCGTCTGTGGATGATTAAGGGTTTCATTTGAGGTTGTCTGCTTTTTTTTCCTGTATTTTTCTTTTTGTTGGTTTTTGTTATAATGTTTCGTGATTTTTAAGCGGGAATTTTGAATTTTTTTAATTGTTGGTGTTGAAATTAGGGTCTCCTAAGCTGGTAGTTTTTTTTTTCTACACTACGGACGCAAGAAATTGGCTAAAGCTCTCTTTTTTTTCCCCCTTTGATTATTGTCGAACCTAAATCATTCTCGTTTCAGATTTATATTGTTGTTCTTTCCTTGATGTTTTGTTATTTGTTATTGAGCTTAATCCTTGCTGTTGAAAGTGCGCAAATTCGGAGTTGAGGAAAGGAAGAAATTATGTTTTTCCTTAGGAAGTGATCTTTTTCTGTCAAAATCTTAAGCTGATCTATCAGATCTTTTGAATGCATGCAATCATTCTAATTCTATTAATTTCTCTGGTCTCTGTTGTCCTCATATATGTTTTATCGAAATATTCCCATAAAAATCATTTGAAAAGCAATGCGTAATAAACTTTTTCCTCTGTTTCTTTAGTGTTTCGTTTACCAAGATGGTGGTTGTGGAGGTACCCGAACCCATTGAAGAGCAGGAGAGAATTCCTAAGGAGGCAAAGAAGATCTTGCATGAATTGGCTTCAGATTGGAGCGACGTGGCTGATTTCAGAGCATTAGAAGTAATTCCACTGAAGGGGGCAATGACGAATGAGGTTTATCAGATCAAGTGGCCCACCGCAGGGAGATCACGGAAGGTTTTGGTTCGGATTTATGGCGAGGGTGTTGACGTGTTCTTTGATCGCGAGGATGAGATCCGCACATTTGAGTGCATGTCGAGGCATGGGCAGGGGCCGCGATTGCTCGGTAGGTTCTCTAATGGACGAGTAGAGGAATTCATCAATGCCAGGGTGAGAAAAAGATTCACTTTTTACTCTTTTTTATGTTTATATTTGGGATTTGTTTCTTCAGTAAATGTGGGCATCTTCTATTTGTTATATTACTTTAGAGAAACTTCGCTACAAGCTAAATCCAAAAAAGAAAAAAAAATGCAGAGTCAATGTTCGGTATATGCTGTAGTATTTTTCATGAAACTATACATTAGTGAGATGTTGCTGGATATTGGGTTGATATTTACATTGCACGCTAAAGGACATGGTTTCTGAATCACTCTAATGCCTTTTTTTTTAAACCTGCTGATGTGCTTCACCTGAAATATATCGTTCAGTAACTGAAAATTATTATAGTAAATTGTAGGCCTACTGGAGAAAATTAGTAACTTCAATTGAATTGTAACAATTGTTAATACTAGTGTTGTGAATATGTGTAATATTTATTAGCTGAACCAATGGGCCATGATGCATTTGTTCCAAACCTTCTTCTGGAGGGAAAATAGGAAAATAAAAATTAATGAACCATGCCGAGTATTATTTAGTAGGGTCATATCTAAGTAACATATCTGTTTAATAGGCGAATCCTGCATATTAGCTACTTTCCTGCTGCACCAACCACCTGTTGGTGAGCCATATTAATAGTATATATTGGAATTCCAGATTCCTTCTGCTCTCTCTTGTATAGCCATGGGACACCCATATATTGAGTTGTTCACATGAGATGCTATCTGGAGCAGTTTGGAGGCATATTAGCATATTTGAGGCTTCCTACTAGTTTCGTGTCTATTGTTTAATCGAAAATTTTGAAGTTTCCATATGCTTGCGGTTAGATGCTTAATGCTGTCCCTTGATTGGCAAATTTTGTTTCTGGTGCTAAACATTGAGATTTGTTCTATTCTAAATGTACTTTTTGTAAAGCAGAAAAGGTACCTTTTGGTTCTTAAGGTATCTGCTTCATACAGGTACCAGTTGTGTTAAAGTATTGTAAGGTGGAGAAGACGTGAGAATTAAGAAATCATAGGGGCCACTTATTGCTTTTTCTGCTAAGAGACAAATATTTACATTAACCTGTGAGAATGAACTATCTGTTGCAACTATTTTCACTCAAGATATTTAGATAATTAAGACTTACAAATGTTCAAACTGTTCCTTGTCAATGGATCAATATTATTTGGTAACAAAATTTACTGTTTACCTGCAGTCTAAATGTATTTACCATATTTTTTTAATCCTAGCTTATTCTTAATAAACACCACAATTATTATTTTGCTAGTTAGTTATTTTTTTCTGACGAGAGTAATTCTTCTGAATGATATTCTGCGTGCACTATGTGGGGTGATATTCCCCGAGTTTTGTACTTAAGAGTGTATAGCTATGACTCTCTACATCACTTTCCTATGTTGTTAATTTCCTTAGCAACTGTAATTGACACTTAAAGAACTCACAGTAGTATGTACTAAAATGACTGAGGAGATGGCCAAAATTGGCAGGTTGAAAATATAATTTTATGTTAGGATACATAAAATTGGCTGTGCTTTGCTGTCCTGATTCAATTTGTGACAACCATCCTGTTTCATTATGATTTCTGTACGCTAAGGTTCAATCAATATATATTCCATAGGGATCTCTTGCAGATTATCTCGAATAAGAACTTAACAGTGGTCACTGTTTCTATAACTGTGATTCTTTTTTCCATTTACAAGTAATGGAATATAGAGAATGGACAGAAGTGTGAGGCCCCTTTCCATTCAATAGAAATGGAATATAACAAAAGTTCAACATACAGCCCCCCAGAATGGGAATGGCTATGTCTATTCTTTTACCATGAAATTAGTATTCTTAATGGCGTGTGTCTCTGTATGATAATGAAATTAATTTCTTTGACTAATTTCTTAATTTTCATGGATGATTAAAGTTGCAAAGCAGAAGTCAATGACTTAACAGGGAAAATGAAGAATTGTCTCATGATAATTAAATCTGTTATTTTTTCTTTAATTTGGGATAGGGTGTTGCCCACCAAAACCTATACAAATTAAGGTAACAAATATTTGTTAACCTAAAAGAAAGTTAGCAAATAATACCAATTCAGATATCATTGGGAACATCATTGGAATATCAGGTGAAGGTATATAGTGATGAACATAATTGACAAAAGATTGCAAGCCATATGGTACCTTTATTTTTTGGTGCAGTATCTGAAAATATTTGCATACCATGCAAACTACAATTACAATGATTATTGTATGAATACATGCTCTGGCAGTTTTTCACATTAATCTGGCATGAAATTGATGCTATCCCTAGGACATAAATTCTTTATTGAATGACTTCAGGTTGTGTCTGATCTTTTTGTTGGAGGGTGGTCCTTTTTGTCTAAAACTAATGATGATATTAGTTATCATGTCATCATAAACTGTTTGAAGCAGTTCTGATCTTGTTCTGGCTGTTTCCTAACTTCAGACTCTGTCAGCAGCTGACCTACGGGATCCAGATGTATCCGCTCTCATTGCATTAAAACTGAGGGAGTTTCACTACCTTGATGTTCCTGGTCCAAAGAATGTTCTTCTATGGGAACGATTAAGGTAATACTGCCGCTTTTACGAAATCTCATACTTAACGTAACAGTCATGTTACTAAATTTTGTTATTTCTCTTGCCTTCAGAAATTGGCTCGAAGCAGCCCAGAGTAGGTGTCCTTCTGAAGAAGCCGAGGAATTTCGTTTAAATGTCATAGGGGAAGACATCAATACTTTGGAAAAATTACTGTCAGAAGAAGGTCAGAGGATAGGATTTTGCCATAATGATCTCCAGTATGGCAATATTATGATTGACGAACAGACCAGGCAGATAACAATAATAGTGAGTTCGTACTCTGCCTCATGCTTCTGTAAATACCCTTTGAGATTTTTTTATGCATTACAGATTCATAAGAAACTAAACTATTTACAGTACCATCGCTTAGGAATATCAATTATATAGTCTAATAAAAATGTTAATACATTTTTTATCAGCAATGTTCCTCTGTCCATACTTTTTTACTTGTAGCTATTTTTCATTGTTGAAAGATATAAATCCATCTTTTATTAGTGAAGTGAAAATGTAGTTTTGTGCGCGCACGTGTGCATGCGTGGTGTGTTATGGGCTCTTTGTTTTATGGGCTTATTTTATTATCTTTTCAAAAATATGGTTAGAGTTATTATGATAATTATCATTAAGCATTTTGAATAAAAGCATGGAAGGCTTGGTTGGATGTTGGTTGTGAGTTAAGAGTGCTATTGTAATTTTGGATCTCATAATACATATTAATGTTATCTAAGTTCTCATCTTCTGCAGGTTTTGGCATCAATAGAAGCTTGAATTACAAATCCTGTTTTTGAGATTCCTTTGGTTGCTTTAATTGTTTAGGTAACTGCAAATTGAGTACTGATTTTTAAGTTCCAATATTTGGTATAGTTACAACTAAAAAGTTCGAATACATGCAAACTTTGGATGGTTAGTTTGATGCTCCCCTAATTAATCTTCTTGTTTCAGGAGGTAGAAATTTGTTTTATAACTAGCACAAGGATTGTAATCTGTGTAAAAGCACTAACTTAAGCTAGATCTTTTTCCTAACCAAAATTGGGCATAGTTGCACAGACTTCCTTGTAAATTTAATTTTGTCAAGTTGGTCCAAAGCAGTATATAAACTTGTGTTGATGAAAGTTACTGGTGGTTGTCATTTGGACGTACACATGCATTTGTCTTAGCATCGGAAGGCATCATGTTGTCTTATTAACCAAAAATACCATCCTCCTAACTGGTACATAAAGTCCTTTACCAATACATGTATTGAGCTGTTTGAATTAGAAGTATTTGCTTTACCATGCAAGCGTGCAATGTTTTTCTTCTTGTACATGTCTATAATTTCTCGCTTTTTTTAATGAATCTGCAGATGCGTTGACATAGATCCAACTTTTGCTGTGTGCTCTATTGTTACCTCTTTCTTTCCACATTTTTATCCTTACAGAAGAAAGAGTGCATCTTGAAGTTGTCTATTATGCATATGATATCTTTATCCTAATGTTTTCTTTTTTTTCTTAGGACTATGAATATGCAACTTTCAATCCTGTCGCATATGACATTGCTAATCACTTTTGTGAGATGGCTGCTGATTATCACACAGAAACACCTCATGTTCTGGATTATACTAAGTACCCAGGTTAGAGATTATTGTTTCTTGCAATACTTTCAATGTCCTCCACACAGTTTATTCCTCAGTGCCATCCGGGATCTAGATTGTTTGCTATTCATATTTTGGGACTGACTTGTTTGAAACTGGCAACAGATCTTGAGGAGCGGAAGAGATTTGTCCAGGTCTATCTCAGGTCTTCAGGTTCAGGTAAGGCCTTATGAAAAGATAGAAAAGAGCTCAAGTGCAAAGTGTCTTATTGTTTGTACTTTTTTTACGATACTTGCAACAGAAGCTTTTATTTTGGACTTCATACTTCACAACTTCATCTAATTCAACATATGGGCAAGCTTAAAAGATTGATAAATGGAGTCTTTAAGGAGAGACATCTTATTGACTGAATTTTAGTCCTTGATTTATAAGTGAATCTTCTTGAGTCATGAATAGCATAGAGGCATGTGGATTAACTCGCATATGTTGCCAACATGGTTATGCCAGAGAGAGTGCATATCTGTCTTGTATTTTAATAAGTGCTGAAGTAAAAGTGATATTCTTTTAAAGCACTATACATAAATTCTTCCAAATTGTCCTTCAGCGTAACTTCTGCATTTATTAAAAGTGGTCATTTGCAGGAAAGTTGTCTTTCAAATCCATTCCCATTGTCATCTATAGAGACTGCATCATTAAATTTTCTTGTTTGTTCTGTTGCCATCAATTAAGATTTACCCCTTCAATTTGTTATGGAAGCATAAGCCATCTTAATTGTATCTAATGATTGCTAATGACGAACAAATATACGCCTACTAAGATATGCCCCGATCTAATTTTTTTTGCTCCATATGCCTAAAGAATTGCACGTTAGATTGAGGATTGCCCTCTTTTTCAAACTTGTAAACCTCTCTTCTATTTTGACATTTGCCTTCTTTTTCTTGTATAGATAAGGAAGCACAAGATGCGGAAGTTGAAAATCTGCTCCAGTATATAGAGAAGTATACTCTTGCAAGTCATCTTGTGTGGGGACTTTGGGGAATAATTTCCGTAAGTCAGTTTTTCTTGATCATTTTTTTAGATAAATTAAAGATAGCATGCTCATCTACCTGGAGTAGCACTTATTACCCTCAACTATTTTAGTAGCACTGTATCACCCTCGATTGACATTTTGAGATGAATTGAGGGGGTGATAATAACTGCTAATAAATGAGTTAAGGGGTGATGGTGCTACTGAGCTTTTAAGGAGGGGTTATATTCAATTTACCTTTGTTTTCTACAAACATGAATTTGAAGGATTTTAATCTAAGAAGTCGTTTTTTTATAATTCCTTCTGTTGTAGGCACATGTAAATGAGATCGACTTCAATTACATGGAGTACGCAAGGCAGAGGTTCCAGCAGTACCGGCTGAGGAAGCCCCTAATACCGGGAACTGGATCTGATTCTGTACAATGAATGCTCCGACGCGGCTGTAGTTTTATCTGTAAATACACTGATGATATAGTTTGTCAATAAAATCATACGATTGGGTTATGGCATAGAGTCTTCAACGTAGTCCTATTGAAATTGATGTTCTTTCACTTCCTGATTTATTCAAGGCGGTGGTTTTGTGTCCCATTTTACGCTTCCAAGTAAGAGTCATCTTTTACGCTGCATTCTCAGTTGGTTTCTGTTCTTCGAGCATAAGATGATGGTCATGCGTTTACTCACCTATATCCCACTTATGAGTAACTCACCCTAATTAATATGTAAAATTGGTATCAGATTTGGTCATTATGTTATCTCGACTCTTCAAGTTCTAGTCGAGGACAACAAATTGGGATATGGCCTGGTTAACGTAGATATTCTTGTCTTTTAAGATGAGTACAGGCTGTAGTTTTCGGAGCGAGTGTGTGAAAAGCTAGTCAACCATATATATGTTAAGGAATCTGCCACTGATGCTAAAACGGCGAAAACAGAGATTGGGGAAAATAATACCATAAAAATATTGACGCCTCGCAACAAGCACCAGTGGTCTAGTGGTAGAATAGTACCCTGCCACGGTACAGACCCGGGTTCGATTCCCGGCTGGTGCATGACTTTTTGAACAATTGTTGATTTACATTATTATATTAATCCCCAAAAAATGTAGCTGCATAAAGCTTCTCTTAAACCTACATTATTATATTAATCCCCAAAAAATGTAGCTGCATAAAGTCTCTTAATCAATCTTCAGAAAAAACTAATAATTGTTTTTATACGTAGTACTAACAATGAAAAGAAATTTTTATATCTAGAATTAAAATAAACATTAAGACATAACAATGACTCTATGCAAAAACATATTACGTGCAAAATATTGATAGTAAAAAAAATGATTTAATTTGATAAAGGTTAATCATAATCAAATTCAATCGACTCGACATTGATTTAATTTTATAATACTAGGTTTAAAAAATGATTTAATACTACCCCCATCAACTAAAATGCTATTTAGCCAAAATGTTTAAGCATTTTCTGATAAAATTGAATTAACCACAAATAACAAGAGAACAAACTTACCACTAAGATCTGGAACAACACTAGTGACAGCAAAAAATACAAGAGAACGTACATACTTGCAGGGACTTATTTAAAAATATATCAGATTATGATTTTTGGGGGCCAAAATAAGAAAAACCCTAATTTTAGTCCTAGTCCCAGCATGATAGAGCAACACTTTGATAATAGGACAAGGATTCCCAGCTGTACAGATTTTGGATGTATTCTTGAGACTTTCGAAAGGACATACCATAGTTGAGATAAAAAAAAAGGTAATGGACTTGTTTAATACAAATTTTATTTCAAAGTAACATGAACCTTACTTCGAAGCGACACGTTGTTGTTGAACTATCTTCAAAGTGTAATAGCACTGCTACAAATGAAAGTATCATAATAAAAAAATTATTAATCAAATAACACATTAATATGACCATTTATATTCACTCCCTTATTTCTAGGGGGTGACATTATACCCAATCAAATCTGTGGTCATAATAAGCCCTCATAAAAACTTCACCGACTCACTAATTCCTATTCCCAAAACCAAATTAATCCCATCAAAATTCCTCATTTTCTCACTCACTATCTTCCTCATATAAAATCCAAACTTCTCCTCAAACACCAAATTAACAATGAAGACCCTGGGAACTCTAATAGCCGGTCTCCTCTGCTTCAGAGCAGCCTCCCTCTCGAGCGCAGGCCGTGTCGGCGGCGGGTCCCTCTACCTCCCCATCATCAACCTCGTCGCCGGCCTCGACCTCAAGACAACCAGAACCTTCTCCGCGTGGTTCCTCATATGATGCAAGTTTACATTTTAACCCCTGCATTTTGTGCACGATTTGGGGGGGCCCCAAAGTCGGGGGCCCTGTTCTGTGGAGCCGGGTGAACCGCCTCAGCGGCGCCCCTGTTTTTTTCCCATGACGACTTAAACTAAAATACTACGTGTTAAGGTATTTATTCTGTGCCTTGTAGTCGGCTTTGTGTGGGCATTGCAGCTCTCTCTGATAAAGACGTCTTCATCGGAATTACAGGGTGCTCTTTTCCTCTTGAGATCGATTTGTCTATTGGGAAAATTGCTTTTAGCCCCTAATTTCCTTACAAGTATTCCCCCTCCCAAGACTTTTTCAACGATCCCAAAACCCCCACAATATTATCTTACATTCTTTTAGCCCCCAAAACTCGTCCCCACGTGAACCGATGTTTAAAACAAATCCCCAAAATACCCTTTGATTAACCGCCTCCCACTTCTCAATACTACTCCTCGTCGATCGTATCATCTCATCTCTCTTCTGTCCAAAGCGAACCGACCATCCCCATTACAAAACCCTAACCCTAAATCAACACACTCCAGAGCTTAATCCTACACCTGATCGGAAAAATGGTCGGCAAGTCAACTCTCAAAGCAGTCGTCCCTGTCGATTTCAGCAAAGACGACGACGCGTCACAGTACATCGTCTCAAAAATACCTTCGAGCGCATCAGAGTGGACTAAAGCTGGCACATCAATTGCTGATATTCTAGAGGACATCGCAGCCAGTCATTCTCATCCCACAAGTCCAGCTCAACCCAAAAAGTTAGTCCAGCGCACAGATCTAGAGGGCAACACTGGCACCGAGGACGCCTCTGGAGCGCTCCTAAATCTACAAAGAGGATTTAAATAGACACATACGACAACACAAAAAATGTGATTTTTACCGCAAAATTTAGTTGTTTATGATGTTGTATGTTGTGATAATTGTGAAGGTTACAGTTAAGTTGTGAATGTTAGCTTGTAGTTATCAAGAAAATTCATTAATTGTTAAGGTTATGCATTAGTTGTTAAAGTTATGGATATGTTGTGAAGGTTAATGTTAACATGTGGCCTGTTAGTTGTTAATATTAAGTGTTAATTGTTAATATTATGAGTCTGTTGTGAATGTTACTTTTTATATGTGTTTGTTAGTTGTGAAGGTTACTGTTGACGGATGGTTGTTAGTTGTGGAGGATACTATTGACTTATGGCTATTAGTTGTGAATGTTACTGTTAACTTGTGACATGTTAGTTGTTAGAATTATGCTTTTATTGTTAAGTTATTGATTGGTTGTTGAGGTTAGGTTTTGGTTGTGAAGCTTATGGATTTGTTGTTAAGTTTACAGATTCTTTGTCAAGTTTACAGTATAATTGTTATGGTTACATATTATTTTCAAGCTAATTATGCCTTGAGGTTTTACTTTGTAGACAAAAGGCAAAGTCCCAATCAGAGTTACGACCTACTTCCAGTTTTACTGCGTACTATGAATTCATGCATACTTTAGTGCAATATATGGGGCAAAGGCATCGGGAGGCCTACGATAGTGTATTCAGACACTACGTTTATTTTGGTCCTCCTGGTCTTAATCTTCCAACTTTCAAGCACGTGCTAAGATAATGGAATGAGAAAAGGATGAAATTTGACTTCACTGAAACAAAACCTAAAGAAGACATCGAGTGCTCATTCAACCTTGATTGGGTAATGAGCCATACATGGTTCTCCAATGAGGGGGATTTTGTTGGCCCCAACTGAGATAGGAAAAATCAAATTTGGTCGAGATTTTTTACCAAACCTGAGGGTGATAGTAGTATGGCTCCTCCTCGAGCACCCACCATACGCCATGTTGAGGATCTACTCATAACACTTGTACAATCAACCGATCGTCAAGATGTGAAAGACTTTGTCTTACTACAGATCCTCTATTACCTGAGCATGATCTGGTGTCCAAGCATTGTTCCTGGCATACCAAGGCACTTGTTCAAGTATGTTGACAGCATCGAACATGCAAATAAAACTGCTTAGGGGACCTATATATTCAGTGAGACAATTGATGCGATTGAAAAGGCATTGAAGGATCCTAGACCAGAAAAGAAGATTATATATCTGTAAGGGTGTACCTAGCTTGTTTGTGTAAGTATTCCTACTTTTTATTGTTTAGAGCAATGAGTAAATTTTATGCATTATTGATTGTGAAGGTTGGGGTTTAGTTCTTAAGTATAGTTAGTAGTTGTTATGTATACAAGTTGGTTGTTAAGGTTGCAGATTGGTTGTTAAGTTTACATATTAGTTGTTAAAGTTACGATTTTGTTGTAAAGGTTGCTTATTTGTTGTTAAGGTTACAGATTAGTTATTAAGGTTACAGGTTGGTTGTTAATGTTACAGATTTATTGTTAAGATTATAGTTTGATTGTTATGGTTACGGTTTTGTTATTATGGTTGCTTATTTGTTGTTAAGGTTAAAGAGTGATTGTTAAGGTTCTATTTTTCTCATATGCAGCTATGGTACTATGAACTTATTGGCATCAAGAAGTTAGCATTGGGAAGTATGTCACGATCTCCCCTCACAAATTGGGTAAAACTGTAAGATGTTGCAGGATCCCTGAGATTGACCACTGTTGTAGCTAAAACAAGGCAAGCTACTATAAAGCTTCCACAGTTCCAGGACCAGGTTTAAAGTCTTGAGGGAGGTTTGTGGGGAAAGGAGTAGGAGAAGGAGAAAGAAGAAGAAGAAAGAAGAAGAAGAAGAAGAAGAAGAAGAAGAAGAAGAGAGAGAAGAATAAAGAACCGGCTGCTAAAGACACCGGTAGAGCACGTAGTCTAAGACAACCTCTTCCAAAAAAGAAAAGGGGATTAGAAGATGATAAAATTCTTCAAGGATGGGTAAGCATTGTAGTAATTGTGAATTGTAAATTTCTTGTTAATGGTGTCTATTAGTTTTTAATTATTTTTTAATAATAATCTATCTGTCCATTGTATAGACTATGCCACATAATATTGATAAAGCGGTCGAGTAGCACAATGAGATCATGATCAAATAGAATTGCATCAGCAAGTGAGCTATTGAAAGAGGATCGCGATAATGAATCAAAAATTACGTCGCGACAATGAGAAAAAAATTCAAAGATCATATTGCTACCGATCGACTAGAGATAACTTCTCTATATGTAAAAGTGGTTTCTCTGCCTGCACAAGTGAGAAGGCTAAGAAAGGAGCTGAGCAATGCCTAATGCAATAGCCTCACTGTATATAACAATAAGAGGTTGACGGGAGAGGTGTCTAGCCCAGCGATGGAGCAACAAACTTGTAC